TTTTGTTCATTGGGCTCACTACAGTTCAGACTCTCGAAAGTCACGGTCCTGTATCTAATCTCGCAGAGTGCAATGCAAGACCGATGAATCATCAAAGAGTCCAAATCCGGCAAATTGTTTTTGGAAAACTGATTTTTAAGAAAGAAGTGCCAAACATGGACTGCTTTGCCAGATACAGAGTCGCCACCTAAATATTTTATTTTGGAAAGAATTTAGGAAACCCTAACTTGTGCCTAAGGCCACGTGTCCGTCATCACCAAAGTTGCTCGGTTCGGAAACTTGGGTACGATTGGGAGAAGGTCACTTCGTGAGCACCCCGCTCGCCCGATCAAAGATCGGCCTCTACTAACCATGATATCGAGTTTTGAAACATTATGCGTTCTTATTCCGATTAATTAGCTTAGAATTACTATGTGATGCGCACAGCAAAACAAGTATAGACTAGATCGCCTAATTTGGAACAAAGCATTGCATATCCGTTTGTTTGAAAATGTTTGAAGTTTGCACCGCAAGAGGCTAAAATGCGAGATTTCAGATGAATTATCCCATTCAGTAATCTCAACCTTCACCCACCAGGCATTCCAGACAGCTTATTCAATAAGCATATAGCCACATGGTAAGCATGCTGTCCATGTTAACAATTCACCTCATGCGAGATTTTAAAAGCATATAAATACTTACATCGTACTCCGCGCCAAAATAGAGAACTTCGTTAAAGGCAAATTCCAGCATTGATTCTCCAAAGGGGTTTTCCCCAATGTTAAGTGCCTAATTATCGCATACAGAATGCAAGTCTAGAACTAGGCTCGGCTAATCCTAGGCGGCATGTGAAATGCAACAGATAACACATATTCAAGTTAGATTGAAATACTATGCAGTTAGTATATGCGTCGAGCCGCGTGCTGTAATACAGATGAATGAATGTACACATGCATAGGCATAAGGTATCTGCTAATTGATAAATTTGCCCTAAATCTAACCTTATAAGCGGTTTAAATAAAGGGGAAAGAAGATGGGCGTTGGGAGACATGCACCACACGCACCCACACTTTTACAAATTTGCCCTCACTCGAGGACCAAATATAATAATACAAGCCACCTAATTAACTACTCACAAGCATACTTAATATTTACAAAACCAAATGAATAACTAGCTACAACTAATTGATTACTACAACTTAATTAACCAAATAATAACTATCAAATGAAAGACAACAAACAAATAGGGAAAGCAGCAAACGATGCTGTTCAGCTCTGTTTGAAGAAAGGGAGGCATGCATGCTTCGCTTCGGTTCTTCGCCTCGAAACGCCTTCCGGTTGCTCTTTAGAGGCTCTGTTTGCAGCGTGTCTTCCAGTGCTTGTTGTTGGACCTTACCAAAACACTGCAGGGGAAGTCACCAGTGGCCTACCGGCCAAGGAAGGAGATCTGCTGGCCAAATATGGTCCATTGCCGGCCAAGGGTGGCACACTGCCGGCCATCAGTGGCAGGCTGCCGGCCACTGGTGTGCTGTGACACCAAACTGCAACGAAGCACAAAATAGAGGAAAGGGAGGGTCTCCCAAAGATATGTATGCACCATGGCACTCCAAATCACCTCAAGACATCAAGGGAGATGCCTAGTCGGATCCACGACCATCAATCACGCATCCCGATGCATGATGGCCAAAGATCTAACTTGTGCCAATCAATATGAAAATGAATGCACAAATAAAGCAAGTAAAGCCTAGAACTCTATCATGAATCATCAAGAGCTTCGGTGATCGAGAATTGAGACACGTTCCATCACTTGAAGTATGAAACGTCCCTCGTTCCTCGTGCTCGGATTAATACTTAATCCAAGCAATGTAACACATAAGCATGGCAAACATGCAACATGACCTAAATGTGCAAACATGCAATTAAACCAAGCATCCAACAAGCATATAAGAATGATGTGAGGTGATGACCTTGAACAACATGACAAAATGCAACATGAACATGTGAGCATGCAAGGTATGCAAAGCTAAACAAATATGCGACAACATACGAAATGAAACAAGCATGTGACAACATGGTAAGATGGGCTTACACCAAAGATGGACGGCTCTCAACTAGGTCCAAATCAGTAGCCAAAGCGATGAATTAAGCCATACAACACACTCAAGCATGCGAAATGCGAAAGGTTCATCAAAGGGGCCTAAAAGGGCAACTCTCAAAAGTGCCTAAGAAGTGACAAATGTGCAAGCGTAACAACACTATATGCACTGAAATGAGATGATAAATGATGCCAAATCATTTAAATAGCTCAAGGATAGCATGTGCGAATCACCGAAACACGAAGCTTGCAAGGCCAATTACATTACAGCTATACGAAGCATGAAGGATATGGCAAAGGCAACCCAAAATAGTCCTAGTACATACTGATATGAGACTAAAACATGCATGGAAGAAAGCCAAAGCAAGCTAGCATACAATGCTAAAACATAGGACATGTAAGGCTACAAAAGAGGCAATGCACTACACCTATGAGAACCAATCATGGCATGACTTAGACAACCAGAAACAGAGTTATATCATGGTATATTAGGACCCAAAATGTACTGAAATGATGAGCCAAAGACTTAGGGTAAGTGGCATGCGCAAAAGTCCGTTCTTGAGGCATAAAGCACAAGCTATACAAAGCATTCAAGGCATGTCAAATGCAAGTGTATGACAACATTTCATGGACTGAAATAGCATATGGAATGAGGGCAAGGCATGCAAACATCACATGCATGGCATGGTAGGGGCCTCAAAACCCAAGACTAGCCTAAGCATTTACACTATAGCTATACAAAGCATGAGTGATATGGCCATGGTAGCCCAAAACAGTCATAGAATACTTCAAAATAAGCATAAAATCAAGTTTGAGCAAAGCCAAAATATGCTAGTATGATGAGTCAAAACATCATGCACAAAGGGTTAGTAAACAAGATTTGTTCTATACCTATATGGAGCATGCAAAGGATGATCGAACCAACTATGGATAGGGTCATGACATGCCAAATGATGACCAAATACATGCTGGAATGTAAACCAAACAAGCTAAAATGACATGGCATGGCATGGAGCATATGAAGCTAGTTTAGGAGATTTACATTACAAGTGCATCATGCAAGCATGGGGTAACAAAACTAACCCAAAACAGGTTCATGGCATGGTAAAACATCACCAAAAACCCACTGAAATGAACTCAACACAAACTATGCACACATGCTACTTTGATGAGCTATGGATGGAGTTACACTACACATGTTAGATGCAAGCAAGACATGACCAAACTAGCCTTGGACAGGGCCAAGGCAGGTCCTAGAAGTCACAAAAATAGGCCTGAACCAAGCCTTAAAAATGCATAGAGGGATGGTCCTTTGGAAGGCCAAAAATGCAAGCAAAGAGGAACACAAATAAGGACCTCAAAACCACACCTCTATCACCAAAATCCCACTGGATTTCAGTGGTAGAAAGGCTAAACCAAGGCTAGCTCGGAGGCCTCAAGATATGGCTTAAAACAAAGCCAAACAAAGCATTCAAGGGGGCTACACACCCCAAACAGAAAAATGACCTTAACCAAACTTAAAAAGAACTTAAAAACAAGACTTTTTCCAGTTATAAGCAAAGCCTAAATCAATATGCAAAGAGGGCTAAAGTAAGGTGCAAAAAAGTGCAAAAATTGGAGAAATGCTCACCCTTGAAGACCCTTTTCGAAACTAGCAATTTCAGGGGGTGGAAGCTTGCTTTCAGGCCTCAAGAAGACCTCCCAAGAAGCTTGGTTCAATGGTGGTGGTGTATATCTAGGTGTTGTAGTGTAAAAGTGCAAGGAAATCCAATTTCTAAGCACAAAATACAAACAATATAGAGAGAAAGAGAGTTTTTGCTCTCCAAAACTCAGAACCTCATATAGAGGGTGGCCTCTTGCTTATATAGAAGAAAATCAATCCAAAGCTTCTTGAACAAGCTTGGCAAGAGCTTCATCCCTCCATACACGTGTATGGAAGGGAAATTAAAGGATTCCAGCTGGCTCAAAAGATCTGACGTGAAACCTGCTGAGAGAGGGGTGCTGCCGGCCATCAGTGATGGCAGGCAGTGGCTCATTGATGGCCGGCAGGGGTCACTTTTGGCCGGCATTGGCCAATCATGGCCGGCACACTCCCATAGAGGCCGGCAACAAAAATCAGTCCTAGTTCCTGTTTTGAAAAAAGCCTAAATCCTTCATCTAGATGCCTTTTCAGGTCATTCTTGAGCGTAAACTGTAGCCCCGAAAGTCTTCTTTCCAAATTTGGCAGCCTCACCTCAAAATTACATGTGTGCTAAGAAGTATCACTCTTTTAGTGAAGACTGCTCAGTTTCGGTCCAACCGGATTGATGCCCGACTTCCAACAACCATATCTCTCCCATCCGGACTCGGCTCGAGGAGATTCTTAAATGAAAATTGAACCTCCAGAAGTAAGCTTTCCAACGGTGGTGGCCTCATAGCTGAAATCCAAGTATTCAAATGGATAGGTCTGATTTAGCGAGGGCTGCTCGGCTCTTTCTTAAAGGTTCATGCCCAACTCCTTCCCCAACTGGGTTTCTTCTCTCCTCTCCTCTTTTCTTCAACTCCAAACCCCTAAACAAGGTGTTTTGAAAGATTTTTCAAAAGAGTTCATATCTCCTTCATTCATTTCCACTTTGTCCTTGCTCGGTTTACCGAAAGGCGCGACATTTAACAAAATGCGAGCGCCGGGACATCGTAAGAACCTATTTTCAAAAAAGTTTTGAAAGTGAGGGTTTTAAGGTCTAAAAACCATTCAAAATAGCTTTGGTCCAAAATGGGGTGTGAGGTTAGGATTTGACTCTCCTCTTGCCGAAGAAATCGAACTTTTGCCCTGCACACCTTTCACCACCAAGTAAACCATCAGTAGTGCCCAAGTCTTAAGGGCGATCAAAAATGGGGTGTCTACACCACCCCCTACCCCCCACACCCCGTTGCTCCCTCTTTTCCATTTTTCCCAAACTTCCTGTATTCTCCAGGATTAAAAAAAAAAAAAAAAACCCTAAATCTTCTGCCCTAATATCACTCTCTCTTTCTTGCGGCCAGTCGATCGTCACTCTCTCTCTCTCTCGCAACAGCAGCAGCAGCAACAACAACACTAGCGTGGGCTCATCCAGGTAACCCTCATCTTGCAAGCGCAGGCCCCCACAATTTCTCTCTCGCTCTCGCGTTACCCTCACAGATTGTCTGTAGCAGGAACAACTTCAACTTCTTCACCAGTCCTTCCTCTGGTATCCAGGTATAGTTTTCCTCTACTTTCCTATGCTCTCCTCTAGTCTCCTCAACTGTCTTCTCCTTTGCTCTCCTTAGTGGTTCAATTGATTAAATAATTTTGATTAAGAATATATTTAATTAATGTATTGTGTAGTTGATGTTTAGCATATTCTCTAGTTGTAAAAATTTTTTTTAAAAAAAAAAAAAAACATGACATGAATAAGGATATATTTTGAAATGCCCTTAGTAAAAGAAACTTTATGAAAAGCTATTGGTGTTAATTCAATCTCGTGGTTAAGAATATAAAAGACCATGCTTTAGTTCCCGTGCCATTGTAAAACAAGAGATCTAATAGTCGTGGGAACTATTTTGCGGCTAAAAGAATCAATTGTTGCATTGTAGCTGTAAAGTGTGAATGCAGAAAAGAGTTTTAGCAAGTTTAATATACAATTTATCTGTCAGAGTTGTGATGAAATTCTAGTTGTAAATGTGAAAGGAATTTGATCAGGTTGCCTCATAACCTGTGAAGATGGCTCACAAGAAACATATAATGGATGCATAATGGCCATTCATGCTCCCGATGCTTTGAAAATGTTGGGAAAACTATTAGATCTTTCTAAAATTAATATAATGCACACCTACCTCTTACTTTAAAAAAACAACAATACATATGCTAAATAACTCTTTTATCTTTCTTTCTGTTTAATAGTAAAAAATGAAGAAATAAGTCTGTGCTTACTTCATATGCTGCTTGTTTATGCTATGTATGAGGTGGGAAAAGGGCTTAGTGTTATCTTAATTTGCATCTCCTTTACTGAAGTTGGATCAAGGCAAGATATTAACTCGAGGTTGTTAGACGACTGGTATTTTCTTCCTTTCAAAGAATAAATGGTAAGAGAAGAAAAGAACAGAGATCAGAGTTAAGAGTAAAAAGAACAGAAGGATAGGATAAGAGAAGTGGAAGAAGTGTAGATGTGTGTATTTGAGAGAGGTAGTTATTAACAATGCCTTCCAAATAAATTCTTTTTTAAATTATCTTGATGCATAAGAATCCTGTGATTGCAACCTTTGGAATTAGGATATTTGTAGACTTCATTTTGACTGGAGTACATAACGACTATAATGTCCACCAATTTGAAAGGTTGGTACTAGAGGATAATACTTATATGATGTTTTGGTTTGATTGGTTTTATTTTCCTTTTGGGTTATGTTAAGTGAGGATTGAAAATGATGCTAGAGTTCTCCCTTAGTTTATCATCTCAAAATGCACAATCATTCTTTTAACTCTTTATGGCAGTGATGTTTCTCTTCATCGTGACAAAAGTTTAATGCCCAAAAACCCAACAGCATAGAGTGCATGGAATTTTCTTGGAACTATGGATAACAAAGTATGTGTGACATATTGGCTCAATGTGCTCCAGGTTTGTAGCACATTCTCCTCATGTGAACTGGAGTTGTTTTTATATTTTCATCAGTACATGACATTAGAATGTGGTGATGCCGCAATGCTGATATGTCGCAGAGCAGCTAATATGCTCAAGATTTTTTGATCCACCATAATATGTATTTAAGCTAGTCATAGTCTCAATCATTACGCAAAAAATAAATGGACAGGCAACTAAATTTCTACTTCTACAACAAATGAAGCGAACTCTAAAACAGAATGAGGAACACCTTAAATCACTGCTTTAAAATATATGAATATAACATAGAGCAACAATAGTTTGGGTTTCTAATTTTTAATTTTTTTGGTCTAGGTTTCGATTTCTAATACAAGATTAAGATTGCTTTCTGCAAATGGGTATTTGGGCAATCGTCAATTCAACGTGTTGAATGAGTCCTCCAAACAAGTTAAAGGGGAAGCTAACAGGTTTTGTTTTTTGCTTTTTCCTAATTAACTTGAATATATGTCAATAATTGTCTGAAACCTTAAAAAAGAGATGTTTTTTTTCTTGTTACATTGGAACATATATTTCTGGGTTAGATTTGTTTAGTTGGTTCTTTATCAGCTTAGTTCTTTTGTTTTTCCCACTTGAAATGAAGGCTACAAATATTGACTTATTACTAAGCTAAGAATACTACTTCTGTTAGTAAATTATTATCATTTTTTATTTGTTCATATCACATGTTGGCATTTTTGGGGCTTTAAAACCCATTTGAAATCCTTCAAGAAAGTTGTTTCTTTAACACTATGAAATGATTTGACGTCACTATATCTGCAAACAATTTTTTTGTTATGCATCATTTGAGCATTCTTTCTGTATGATTACTCCATACATTTTGTTTGCAATTTATTGTCAAATTTATATACCTTGTGCTATTTTCAATCTAATAATATTTAAAATGTTAAAGATACAAGGGTTAAAATTTTAATGAAATAAATATGGTGTAATATCACATGGGTCAAGTCAATCAAACCTAATGGTTCTGTAATTATTATTATTTTTAAACTTGTTTTGAACAAAAAGCATACACGACTTTTAAAGTGTTTTACGGTTTAAAATAAATGATTCCACTTAATTCTTCCGATTCACAATGATATTCTCTCGATTTGACAACTATGATTGTGAAATTTGATTGCACAGTCTGTTGACTTCTCAAAACATGCATATCTTAAAACTGAACATAGATGTCATCATCTACTATCTTAACAACATTTATTGCTAAATGTTGCTCATTTTGGTTGGTTCTAATATTTATATAAGTTTTCCAAAGTATACTACTATAGACTTGTAGAACAAGCATAAAATGCGGACCAAAATTGCATAATAAATGGCCTCATCATTAGCAGTACAAAAAATGGAGTTATTACATAATCACAGCTTTAATAAAATTGTCATTGTCTCCCAAACCAAGAGCTCTTTTCTGAAATTAATATGTTCATTCATTCCATAATGTTTCTTGACATGCAGAATCTTGGTGAGACGGGGCTACCTTATCTGGTAACTCTAAATCCATCACATACCCCAGAACATACACTACTCAAGTGGTCAACCGGCCATCCATTCCCATCAGTTGCTGCATTAAAAGCATCATTTGAGCTTGATCACATTCAAGGGAAAAGAGTAATATGGTTCTGCTGAGCATACCAAGGTGAGTTTCTTTCATTGTTGCTGGACTGGGATGATGTTCACAACAATGATTTCTGTTCATGGCATGGAGTCTTCTGTGACAATGTCACCGGATCTGTTGTTTCTCTGTATGTGTTTTTTGTTCATGCTTATTTTTCTTCCCCTTTTTTCCATTTGATTCTACTAGAGTTTTTATTTTTTATTTTTAAATGCATATATATATTTATTATATTTGTTTGTTGAAGGAATTTGTCAAATTTGAACTTGGGTAGGGAGATTTCACCAGCCATTAGAGACTTGAAGAATCTACGGTCCATGTAAGCTTTCTTTGCTAATCCTGTTGATTTGGTGTTTTTGCTCATTGTAACCAGGTTGACATAATACTAACTTTAGATGTTATAGTTGAAATATTTTCAAGGATTTTCAGGGGAACAAATTAACTGGTCAAATTCCTGATGAGATAAGCAACTGTGTTTCTCTCACGCTAGTGTAAAATTTCATCTTCTTTTTTCATTGCAATTTTATTTACATATATGTGGATGTATTTGTTAGAAATTGGGCGCCCATATGGCATGACCCATGAACCTTTTGAACCTTATCCATATAAGTTTGAATTTGAACTCAAAATTTATTTAAATAACCACTCATGATATCTATATCTATCATATCAATCAACTAATATGGATAGATGATATATTTATCCTATATATCTGATATGATATATGAGATATGAAATAATGAAAACAAAGTATGTTTTTCAAATATTGACTCTCTCCCATTAAATAACAATCAAGCTTTTTGCACTGTGACTTGTGTGGGTGATACTCATATTATGGTATCATTCTACCGCTAGGTTCGTTGTTCGCATTCTTGAAGCACGTGATTTACCCATGAAATTCTTTGCTTCAGATTCTGTCATTAAGGTATGATCTGAAATTTTTACCCGTTGCGTTATACTTTAATTTACATTGGTATCAGAGCAAATATGGGTATTTTCGTGCTTATTTTTATACATTAAAATATATGTATAATTTTATATAAATATATATACACGATATATGCACGAAAATTAACAAAGGAGGAAGATGAAGTGCAGAGTTTCTGCACTTCCACTTTCATTAGATTGAGAGTGTAATACACCTCAATTTTTATGTTCATTAAATGTCATTTTTGAGACCATAAATGTTATTATTTTCAAAAATGGAGTCCGGCAGTACCGAAATTAGACCAGAAAACAGCTTGGAAGGCGGTGCGTGGGCCGCACATGCCATCCGATGCCGTCAACGGCTTCCACGCGCTTGGTGCGATTTTCACACGTTGTCACGCGCGCTGTCCACGCCATCATGCGCGCGTCGTCCGCGCTACGCACTCGCACGCCGTGCGCTGAGCCGCGTGCTGAGCCCCGCCGTTTTCCGAGCGGCTTGACTGGTTTGACGGCTGGGTGTAAGGGTCTGTTTGTTTTTTTTTTTTAAATCCAGAATTGCGTTAAATGGTCATAAATAATTCGTTATAACATTGTTTTAAGCGTGGTTGATACTGATAGATTCAGAATTATATTTTCTATCTTCTGCAAAATTTTTGTTTTAAGCGTGGTTGATACTGATAGATTCAGAATTATATTTTCTATCTTCTGCAAAATTTTCAAAATTTTATGAAAATAAAAAATATTTTTTCTGAAATAATAATTCATTATTTCTGCTTTAAAATGCTTGTGTTGTTGCATGATTAAGTTTCTGGAGCTGAAATTTTTACTGTAGACTACTGTAATGGTCTACTATTTACTGGTATGATTGTTGCATTTTCTCAGATTCTGAAATATTTATTTATGATTTCATGTGTGTTTATTAATTATTTAAAATTTCAGAAAATACCAAAAAATTTCAGAAGTGATATACTTTCTATTATGGCATAATCTGAATATTAAATACAGCATATTGTTGTTTTTGGCCTAGAGTTTTTAATATGTTGTAATTAGAATAGCATGATTAAGTGCTTTTTATTTAAATTTTATTATTAAATATAACATAGCATGAGTTGATTGTGAATCTATTTTAAGATGCTATTGTATGAAATTAGAATATTTTATCATATTTTTTAGACATACCATAGTCAGTGGGAGGTTATTCGGTTGAGAGAAATCTTTGTAGATATACTCCCGAAAACTAATATTTTGCGCATAAATTAAATTAAATTTTGGATAATTGTCACCTGTGGCGCAAGAGATGATTACGAGCATATCAGATTTTCGATCTTACAACTTGTGTAATATTGTCACTATTTAATTTAGATTTTTGTGACAAAATTATATTATGCTAATTAAATTAATCCCAATGCGTATTTCTCTCTAAATTGACTTAGCTTATGGAAGTTAATTTGGTTGACCTAGACTTAGTAGAGATGTTCAAATGCGAACAATGTAATCCTATTCTTTAGATGAGCAAAAGTCTTGGGCACTTTAGGTCAGACCTTAATTGAGCTAGAGTAAGGAAACATGACTCAAAGTCTCCGTGGTTTTGTTGCCTTGTTTAACACAATAAAAATTAATGCGTGCGCTATGGTTAGCCGCACGCTACGTAGTTTTGGTTGGCGAGTTTTGGAGTTATGAAATTAGTAAGCCCTTAATAGATCCAACTGTTGGGAGTGGATGGAGCAAAATTTCATGCACTATAACAGTGTGCGTTAAAGTATCACTTGAAGTTAAAAGATTAGCTCTTACTAGCAGAAAAATCTATTAACACTAAGTGAAGAGATTAGTGCCAAGTGGCTGCAAAATCTATTAGCATTGCCAACTTGTCTAAGTCTGGACACTTACTGTTTCCAAACTTGAGTGTGACACATGAGGAGGTGCTTCTTTGTATGGTTCCTTAGCTAGGCTAATGTTTTTTGAATAACGTTTACCACTAAGCGCAAACGTTGCAACATAGTAATGAAAAGGTCAAGGCCGACAAGGTTATTATGACTCTAAGATTTTGACGCATGGCTCGTGAGAGCATTGTGTTGAATTAGACTCTTTAGCCTAATTCGCGCATAAGTTACTTTGGGAGCTGTCATAGATTGATAGCTTATTCTCTCATTCTTGTGGATAGTAGAATTAATTGAAAGTAACTATGAAGCGAGAAACAGAGATGGCAAGAGAGACATCGTCATCTTTCAACTAGATGCAGTAAAGTGTATGAAGAATAAAATTGACTTGAAGGTGCAGGGGATTAGCACTTACTAGTTAAATTTGTGACTTAGGCGCACTTGATATCTCCATGACATCCTTTTATGATCTAGTGAACATGAATTAGTCGTGAGTTATTACCTAGTTAGGCCTAAACCTTTTAAACTTGTCTTCGAGAACTCACACATTAGAATGATTGGAATTAGTTTATGACATTAGATATAAACCGGTGGTTTGTTATACTTAATCACATTAATGAGAAGATGACATGGATGGTTTGAGTAGGCCTTCTCGGGCCCACTTGCTTGTGACATATAGCTCTCATATGAATATGTAACTTTATTCGCAATGGTTGCGCACAAATAAGTAGGAAAGTCGCAGAAGGGCATTTGTATCGGCGCATTTAGTTCACTATGATATTTGTGACTGGATATGTGTAAGGGTATGATAGCTAGCCCCAAATCTTAGCACATTTATTGATTACAATACGCATCTTAGTCAAGACTATTTGATCTCTCATAAGTCAAAAAGTTTTGAAATGATTTTTGACATTGCACATACGAGGTTAAGATCAATTAGATAAGAGCTTTCGTGCTTTTAGTTTTGACCAAGGTGGCGAGTATCTAAGTGAGTTATTTTTTAGAAAGCTCTGTGAAGAGAAGTGGATGCTTAGAAAATTGATTATTCGTAGTACTCAGCAACATAAGAGTGTAGTAGAGATAAGAAATTAAGTATTGTTAATGTTAGGTGGATGATGGCGCAAAATGTTTCCCAATTGGGAATTGTACTTTAGTTTGTTGCCTATATCTCTGACTAAGTGCCCTCCATATCAGAGTTTACACTCCACTTGAGTAATGGGTTAGAGGAGAGCCATCTATGGGCGATCTGTAACCGTTAAGCAGCTTATCTTTATTTTAACTTTTCATAAGGTTGCGAAGTTAAGACCTAGGGTTCTATAACGCATTATTGTATGCTGTCTTATAAACATATAGGGTCATGTGGCGCATTATTGTATACTGTCATGTAAACCCTTCGGGTCATGTGCATATAGGTAAGAAGCTTTGTGGTAGTGTAATTAAGTCACATAAAGTTTTCTTAGTAAAGGTGACGTGAATAGAGTTTTGAAACTCTATAAGATAGAGAATTCTAAGCATAGCGCTTTTATGTAAACTAGTTGAGAATGGAAAGAAATTTCCAATATCCTAGGGACAGTGGGAGCGATGTGCCTGCTAATGGATTACTCCATTAGAGAAGAATGCTCTACATTTTTAGTTACATGGTAGCGAATGTGAAAATTTTCCACATCATCACTAGGTGATTGAGAGGGAAACATTCATGATTGCTCCGCAAGATGATAAAAGAGCCTAGGATAATGCCAAAGGCTCCAGTTCCCTATTTTAGAAAGTGGATCAATGTTGCGCAGTTGAAGACAAAGTCTTTGAAGATTAACCATTTCTATAATTTGGTTGACTTTCCATTAAGACGCGAAACTGTTCTAAAGTTATGTGCATTTTGGATAGTCATTGTTGAGGCATAAGGCTCACTAGATACTAAAAGTCGCACCATTGAGAAAAGTGTAGCCTATGAGAAGACTTCCTTCTGGGGAGTGAGGTTATTTTGACTTAGGCTATGATTAACATAAGTTCGGAATATTGATTTGTGGACATTGTGACCCAACTTCTCGTTGGAGAATTGGATAAGTAGATCCGTAGAGATTTACCTTCTACTTTTATGGTGAAAAGTTAGGAGCGCAAAAAGGTTGCTAGTTCCAATAAATCTTTTACAGCCTAAAATAGTTATCCAAATAGTGATTCTTAGATTTCATCAAGCCATGATAGGCCAACAATGATAGATGAAGACCATTGAGGCATGATCAATGGTCCAAAAGAAGTTTTTCCTTACTTAGTCATTATGAGTTAGGAATTTATAAGGTTGTCGCCACCTAGGGTGGGCAGTCCTCTGTTTTAGATATGACGGACATGGGTGATGTAATTTATATGCTCGGATGTACGATCCTTAGGGATTGTTTTGGGAAAATTCCTGGTTTGTCTTTGATGACTTACATAAGGAATATCCTAGAATGATTCTAGATGCAAAATTGCAAACCCATTAACTTACCTATCGATAAAAGTTAGAGCCGTAGCTATTGAGTGAATCCTCGGATTGTCTTTGGGAGAAACAGATGGCCTATATTCCTTGTTTTTTTTTTTTTTTTTTTTTTTTTTTTTTGTGGGTGCCTGAAGTACACTATGTGGGCGTATTCGGCGTGATAAGTGTTATCTTTGGTAAATGGTCAACTGAGTTGTTTAGACATTGACCTTGCTCATTAGACTATGGATAAAATGCGTTACTAGTAGTATATTAATTTGCTCCTTGTAAGATTCAATGCGCTAATTGGGCACATCTTGAATGAACACAGATTGGTCACCAAAATATCTTTAGAGAGGTTATTACGCAAGAGATAGTGATCTTGAATCACTTCATGTAAGGCGCACATGGTGGATTCCGTTGTATATACTTATCGCAAAAGGTGCTGATAAGGCTTATGTTTGGAATCTAGAATTGTGCAAGCTGTGGTTGTGTTTTTTAAAATCAATCACTTATTTGTTGTGAGATGATGAGATGTTGACACTATTATGGTTTGTGTCATAATAATTAGCAAATGATGATGTCAGTAGGCAAGATTGGCTCACTCACACGAGCAATCGCCCTTGGCGCTTGGGAGCGAGCAAGGATGAAACTAGTGGTTTATTTTTATTTGGAGCCAAGAGAGGCTTAAATTATCCACTAGCTATGTCGCCTTGGTTGGAGCCAAGATGAGGTCTTGTTAGAGACTGACCATAGATATGAGAGTACCCATTTTTTCCATGATGTGCCTGTTATGGATAGCCAGATGCGAGATCTCATTTGATGCCTGAGAGGCGAGCACATAGAGAATTTGAGTTAGACGCTAGGAAGCGACTTGTGCGCTTAAGAGCGACTAGACTAAGATCTGTATGGTGTGTGAGTTTAACATCACTCTTTGGAAGAGTTACTCCACTATAACTTGCATTTGTACTGCATGTGCTTATCGACCCGTTAGCAAGGTGAAAGAATGGATTCCTGCTACTTCACCGTGTGAGTCCTAAAAGTCATTTTTCTTAAATGACTTCACTTTGTGCCTTTTGTGACCTTTGACTATGTCATAAGATGAGGAGTTGATGTTCAGCTACTTTGGTATGTTGCCTGCGGTCATGTATGATTCGGCTTTAAGGGACATTACTGGAAAAATGGTCAATTTCAAATTAAATGATATGAGGGTGAAGGGAAGATCATCTAGTTCTACATCTCTGCTCTATATTCACTGTCGACAACTCACATCGCTCTCTATGGGATGCTGATTGGGTGTGAATATAATGTGGAACTTAGGAGAGTCAAACATGCTCTTTGAGGGATAAGAGATGTTTTTGGACCGATGTAGCTAGATGGGTCTGGGTACATGAGACACTATTTCTGTTCATTTTGGGTTGATATCTCTATGCTGACTCATATTGAGTTTCTAGTATAGAGCTTCCACGTGCAAGTGTTCTCAGCGGTCGCACGGTGCATTGGCTTGTATGAGATTGTTCATTTGTGGGGAGATTGAGATAGAGATGTGGCAGTGTTATGCCAACTCATGTGCGAGTGGGATATGTTAGAAATTGGGTGCCCATGTGGCATGACCCATAAACCTTTTGAATCTTATCCATATAAGTTTGAATTTGAATTCAAAACTTATTTGGACAACCACTCATGATATCTATATCTATCATATCAACTGATATGGATAGATGACATATTTATCCTATATATCTGATATGATATATGGGATATGAAATAATGAAAACAACGTACGTTTTTCCAATACTGACTCTCTCCCATTAAACAACAATCAAGCTTTTTGCACTGTGACTTTTGTGGGTGATACTCATATTGTGGTATCACCCCACTGCTGGGTTCGTTGTTCGCATTCTTGAAGCATGTGATTTACCTACGAGATTCTTCGCTTTAGGTTCTGTCGTTAAGGTATGATCTGAAATTTTTACCTGCTGCGTTATACTTTAATTTACAATATTAATATCTTCTTCTGTCTTTTGGTGATTAAGATTTTTAGTCTTATTTTAATGATTTATTAGTTTTTTTTAATATCTTATTTTTTAGTTTGTAATGATTTTAATGATTCTCGATTCGGTTCAATTCACGATTCAAAAAATTACAATCTTATTTATTTATTTATTGAAATAAATATAAAATGTTTTACATTTTCTGTAAGTTTGAAATTAATTATATTGTAAATGTTGATTTTTTTTTTTTTTGCTTCTTTTTGCAGATGCAACCCTTTTGAGTACGTGATGATATCTTCGCATATCGATATTGGAGTTTACTGTTGATATTAAAACAAGATATAATATATATATTTTTATTTGTATTGTCGATACTTTTGTTTTATTTTAGATACAAAAATTTGAGTTCTTAAATTATTAATAGTTATTAGTATTGATGAAGGATGTTTTACATATTTTTGTAAAGAATATTTGTTTGAAAATTGTTACAGAGTACATATATTATTATTTGTATGATTTTGTGGATGTGGATATGGATGTATTTTATTTTAGAAAATATTAATAATTTGTACAGGAAATAAATTAAAAATATATATATTTATTTTATGAAAATAATTTTATTGCGACAATAATAAACTGTCGCCAATATAATCATCATTTTCTTACATTTTATTAGTGACGGGTTAACCTGTCGCATATACATATTAGTTCAAATCTGTAGCGACAGTTTAAACTGTCATAAATGAGATCATAATGTAATTCTAATTTTTTGGCGACGTTTTAGACCGTGGCTAATAATACTTTTCGCGACATCAAATACCGTCGCTACAAAAGTTTTTGGGGACGGCAACCAAAAGCGTCGCTAAAAGAGAAGTTTTTCCCCATTTTTTGTGTCAGTTTAAACCGTAGCAAAAACCATTGATTTACCATCGCTACAAGAAAGTGACGGTTTGTAACCGTCGCAAATAACTTTTGTCACGCCCCCTTCCTCCACCCCTCATTTTCCGTTGCTACTCCGTCGCAAAAAGTCTTTTGCGACGACATGTGAACCTTTTGCGACGTTTAAGATCGTCGCAAAAGCTCCGATTTTTAATAGTGTGGTCAAAAGCTAGCTTCCAGCTTTTTATCCATTTTTGATCACATCACCTCTCATATAATTTACCCTTAAAAAAATAAAATAAGCTAAAAAACCAAAAAAATACATTTTTATCAACTTTCCAAAACATCCATACTTGGAGAAAGTAGCACATTTGGCAATAGGGTGCATAGATTATTTTGCCTACTAATTTTGGTGTTGCAAGAATTGAATAATAATTACTATAAATCAATCTTACAGAATAATGATATTGAATAAAATAGAGTTTGAAAATAAGTTTTATACATTTTCAAAAATTATATATATATATATATACATATTAAAATATTAAAGAAGAAGATGAAGAAAATAGCATGTGTAATTCGGACAGGCATGTCAAAGACGCTGTCCTAAAGTCGTTATGCGCTCCCTCCGTGCAGGTTCTAACGATCACAAACGACTTCAAGATACAACCCAAGAATTCATAGGAATCTAACACAATGCACAATTGCGCTAGATAGATTTGCCAAGTTTGTATCAGTTGCCTAGAAATATAGAGAATACAACAAAGAAGGAAAAGAAAAAGAAATCAGAATACGCTTTTTTTTTCCAGAGTAAGAGTCCTCTTATAAATAGACTCATTGATGTCTGTTGGGAATAGACACACCCATTCATTTTGAAAACAAATATAAGTTTAAAAATTCAAACAAATAATACTATTAAAATAAATAAATAAATAAAATAATAATAAATAAAAAGCAAAGTTTTGAAGCTTTTAGGAAATCGCCAACACCTAGCTCTCCCCTTCATTATATAAAGTGCGGATGTTTAGGTGTGAGATTTCATGTTCGAATTTATGGTGTTGCATTGGAATATATTGTAATTTTTTTACTAATATATTAACGTTAGATTTGTAAAATTAAAAAATTAAAAAATAAGAAAGTAACTTTTTAAAAAAAAAACATTTTTCCACCACATGCCCAATCAAAATAATGGGTCTTCAAATCCAATTTTTTTGTTTTCTTTCTTTTTTTGAGGAGGATTGAGGGGTCAGGGATCCCAGTACCGAAGCCTCGTTTGTTTTGAGATGTAATAGATGTGAGGGGATTAGGATAGAGATTGAGTTATTTAGTGTTGTGTTTGTTTATAGAGTTGAGGAAGAGATTAGGATGGAGGAGGCGATTAAGATGGAGGTTGAAAGGGGGATTGGGATGGAAGAGTTGGAGGTGGTATTAGAAAAATAGTTAAGGGATTGGAATTTTTTTATTTTTTACATATTGGGAATTTTATTTTAAACATTGATGTTTAATTTTTTATATTTTTTTTATTATTTTATATAAAAATAATTTAACAATTCCTACACTAACAACTATCATCAAAATAAATACAATTTTACTTAATCCCCCCACTAACAATCCCCTTATTATTAATCTCTTTCATTCTACATCTGAAAACAAACGGGGCCTGAAACTCAAGTGCTGAGCATGGCTAATCTATATATAGTATTTGGGTTAACTGAAATGAAATAGAATAGAATAGAATGTTATAATTATTCCTTAACATCATTATGAAATGACTATTCTTTTATAATAGTGAATGTTGATTTTATTTATAATATATTTTTATTATTATCTTAATAATTAAGTATGAGAATGAACATTATAATTATTTTATGCTAGTAAATCAAATCGAACTGTGTGCTTTTCCATTGCCACCAATGGCCCTTGGGTGTCTGATTCTCAACGAGGAATTACAAAATCCAGTCGATATGGAACCACAATGACGGTAAACATAATGGGTTGGAAGAGTAGATTTTAAAATGATTTAAAGTAGTGTATTATTTTATTTTTTACGAAAAGATGAGTAGAAAAATAAAAAGATAATTTAACCTCAAAAAGATATTATTTTATGCTAGTAAATCAAATCGAACTGTGTGCTTTTCCATTGCCACCAATGGCCCTTGGGTGTCTGATTCTCAACGAGGAATTACAAAATCCAGTCGATATGGAACCACAATGACGGTAAACATAATAGGTTGGAAGAGTAGATTTTAGAATGATTTAAAGAAGTGTATTATTTTATTTTTTATGAAAAGATGAGTAGAAAAATAAAAAGATAATTTGACCTCAAAAAGATAAAAAGGAAAAAAATATATTTATATAATCTACTCCAAACTAATTGTCGATGGCTAGGCCTTTTAAAATTGGGCCTTGACTTAAAGTTAATCCAGTTTTCATTTTAAGGGGCAAAGTATCCCCTCCCAAAGATAATGATAGGTAAAAGAAAAAAAAGAAAAAAAAGTATTAGTGACACTTCAATATTATTATTTTTTATTACATTATTATATATATATATATATGTTCCCTTTTCTTTTCTCTCTTCCTATATATTCCTGACATAATGAGATATGTGGAGATAGGATGATCACTTCACAAGGGACCACTAGAATTTTCAGTAATGCAACTTGGTGATAGCAATTCAATGCCTGCATTCATAAAGATTCCTCTCTCTCTCTCTCTCTCTCTCTCTATATATATATATATATATAAGAATATTTAGTACCTAGACAGTACATTCCCATGCAATGCATTACCTTTTCAGACTTCACTTTCTGTCAAAAAGACTTCACTTTCTTTCTTCCTTTCTTTTCTTTGTTTCAGATTCTAGTGTTCAAAAATGCACGAAGTGATATATGGAAATGGTCACTAGAAGATAGAGAAAATAAAAACTACAATTAGTTTAATGTTAACCACTGCCTAATGAGCTGTGTATAATCTCCATATATTTGTATAACTTATGTGTATGAAAGTACGTAAAAAGTGTATGAAAAAATTAAATATGTAAAATGTGTACAAAAGTTTTATTTTTTTGTTTATTATATTTATTTGTATCTTAAGCAATGCTCATTGAATAATGGTTAACAAGACTCCTAAATCAACATCTGGATTCTACACACACTTGAGTAATTAATAAAAAATTAATAAAATTAGTTTGTATCTCCTTTTTTTATATTATTTTTTAAAATTATGACAGTAATAGCAAAGAACCTGGTCTGTTCTAATGGGCTCGTTTACAGCTAACGAAATAAACTAGCATTATAAATAAAAGTTTAAAAAATAAAAATTGTGCCTTGACATCATCTTTGAGACAGATGTGCTTCTCATATTAGGGTGAACGGCGGATATTTTGATTTGTCTAAACAGATCAAATCGAATCGATCCGTTGTATTTTGGATAGATGTGTAATGACGAGCAGACGGTTGAGGATTGATTTTTTCCAATCCACCTAGTTTTAGAGGGATGGTGGATTTGAGGTTCCTTTGACTGTAACCGAACCGCCAAACCGCGAGCAACCCTAATAATTTGTAAGACTTTATATTTTTAATTTTTTTAGATATTTTCTTTGTATTTTCAATTGAAAAAGAGTTTAGATATACTATTGTGATTTAATTTGTTTTCAATTTGGAAATCCTTTTATCAAATGGAAAGAGTTGATATTTAATTCTTTGTATGGAAAATATTAGGATTGATTTTGTCATATTTTTAAAAAATCAAATTAAATAGTTTTTGAATAAAAAAAAAAGTAATAAAATAGTTTTGGTAATGCATGATTTTTTTATATATATTTATTATTGGTATTTGACAATTTATTTGATAATCTTTTGGTTATGTTGAGTTGGATTGTTATCCAAAAAAAAATATTGACAAATTGTTATATTATGTTCAAAATTTGTAAAAGTTTAAACCGCCAAATCGATTCACATCCATCCGTCAATTTGTCAATCCGCTCAATTTGCATTTGTCGATTCGGTGGACAGATGCCGATTAATTTTTCTAATCTGCTCATCCGGTAGACGGATGGCGGATCAAAAGCTTTTAGACCTCAACCGAACCGTAAACACTCCTAATGATCCTCTCAACACTATTTGGGCCTGACCCAATTGTAGGCTCATGATAGCCCAACTCATGCCAATAAAAAGAAAGAAAATAGTCAAAAATTGGGCTTGAATCGTGGCCTCTATTGTTGGAGGCCCCGTTCGGCTTTGGTGATTGGGTCAAACGACCTCGTGGTAAGACCAAACAAATTCCAATTAGAAGAAAGAGAGTTGGTTGATAATTTGACAATGGCATCGAAATTGGACGATCAAATCATAAACTTCAATAAATTAAACAAATAAGAACAGACAAAGCAAACGCAATCAACAGCCAACATTGGCCTCAGGTTTGAAGTCTTTTAAGTGTTATTAATCTTTGTATTGAGTCAATTCATAAAGAACTCTGCTCTTACTTTAATTAAACTCTCCATTACTGAATGATGGAATTGATCACTCAAAAATTAATCGATGTGCACATAAACTGGTCTAAACACCCTCAGCTATTAAAGAAAACAAACATTAACATAAAACCAGCCCAAATGTCCAATGAAATCTAATATATATAGTGAGCCATTAACATTAGATGATGAAGAAAACTATGAGGGGAAAAAAAAAAAACTGAAATTTTGGTTTCCTCATTCTTAATATATAGCTTCAAAGAATAAGTGGAAGCAATTTTTAATTGGGTTGTCAAAAATGGTGTCCACTACTTAGTAAAAAGGAGAAATTGCACTCGGTGCAAGTTTTTTTTTTTAAAAAAAATTATAAATTAATGAAAAAGATTATGAATTTTAATAATTGAAATTACAATTTTTTTTTTTATGAAGTTGTCTCTAAAGTATGAGTCTTGTATCATTTTATTCTAATATATAAGAGTATTTCAATTTCATCCTTACTATTTAATTGCGTCAAATTGGTGTCAATGCATAAAAATGTTTCGATTTAGTTCTTAATATTTAAATTATGTCAATTTGATATTCAATATATAAAAATGTACGATTTAGATTTAAGAACTAAATTAAAACATGTTTTTAATATATTACGAACCAGATTGACATAATTTAAGAATTAAAATCACTTTGGAACTAAAAATATAATTAATCCAACAGTATATTACAAGCCTATCACTTCATTTTTGAGTCACGAAGAGGGAATCGCATGCGCCTGTTGAGGCATGCTCGGGCATAGTACTGTCTGCTAAAGCACCTAAACTCACTTCTTTTTTTTTATTTATTTATAAATTTGCAACATAAAATTTCAAACTTATTGTGGCCTGCCTCAAATTGACTTGAACCTTTCATTGGATTCGACTTTCTCAAACAAAATTCCAAATTGTCTGGAAAATGCATGATCATGATGACATGTATGATGGATGGTATTTCAATAATTGTAAATGAATCAAGTAATGAATTGTTTAAGTTTGATTTTAAAATTTTAACTATTTTTAAATCGTATTTAAGTTAATTTGTTTACATGGAGGATTTAGCGAATCTAATTAACAAATAAACTCAAATAGATTAGTTCATTTTATCTCCAATGGTGGGGATATTCATTTTATGGTTTGCATGAGCTATAGGCCAATGCGCATATTAGTTTAGGACACAGAAAACAAAGTAATTTGAGAACAAATGATCCTCGGCTCAAGTTTGGCAGCATAAAATGCTCTGAGTACACGAACATATTGTTGTACCTATTGAATGTTCCCAACACTTGTACAAAATAAAGGGGTCTTAAAACCCTCACAAATCACTCATAACCTAAATAAAATTTTTTCCTGATCACCATATTATTCAGGCATGCCATGCAGGATCTCTAGGGCTAAAGAAGCAATCAATGACCTGAGAGTTGAGCAATTTCAGTGCATCATTAGATTTGATACACCTCGGCGTCTTATATTGATTAATCGATCCTCCTTGATCAATGAACATGTCCATCAGTGCTTCAAACGTGCCCGGTTTAACCACCCGTATCTCAAGTGGCCCTATAGACTTGTCGTTAGCTCTGCATCGCCGGTAAATGTAATCAAGCTCCTCTTCCACTGCAATGCAACACTCTTGAATCACCTTTGCATCAATTGTAGTAGTAGTGACAACATTGTTGTTGTTATTGTTGTTGTGGTCGTCAATTAGTGATGTGCAATGTTTGATCTCCCAAAAAATGACGTAGTGCCCCGGTACAGATAATGTATCAGCATAGCTAGTGTATTCCACGAGTAGAGCATTGTAGGGTTGTAGGAGTTTTTTGGCTTTCGTGATGCTCTTGTGCAAGTCCTCTTCATTGGTTTTGTCGTTATCAATGCTGAGAATGACGTTTCTCCTGCAAATGAATCGGAATTGTGGGGCTCGGTTGTGGAATCCTGTCACTTGAAGAACGTCGCCTATACGATACCGGTATAATCCTAGATCAATCATCGAAGAAAAAAGAAAGCATTAGTTAGCCACATGTTTGGCTTAAAAGAAAATAATATGCGTCATCGAAGAAAAAAGAAAGCATTAGTTAGCCACATGTTTGGCTTAAAAGAAAATAATATGCGCGTACGTTTGGCAGCTAATTTTTAGTTTAAAAAGTTACAGAGAGCTATTTTGACAATTAGAAATTAAAAAAAAAAAAGAAGCAAATTTATTGGTTTATTAACTTATTTGGATCACATTACCTCCGTATCTTTTTGCACTTTTTTTTTAAAAAAAAAAAAGTCAAAAAAAGGTCAATAACCTATCTTTTTTTCTTACTTCCCAAAACAAACTAAAGTCAAAAGAAAAAGTTAAAAAGTTAAAAAATAAAAATAAAATATCACATTATATATTCGTGATGCTCTTGTGCAAGTCCTCTTCATTGGTTTTGTCGTTATCGATGCTGAGAATGACGTTTCTCCTGCAAATGAATCGGAATTGTGGGGCTCGGTTGTGGAATCCTGTCACTTGAAGAACGTCGCCTATACGATACCGGTATAATCCTAGATCAATCATCGAAGAAAAAAGAAAGCATTAGTTAGCCACATGTTTGGCTTAAAAGAAAATAATATGCGCGTACGTTTGGCAGCTAATTTTTAGTTAAAAAAGTTACAGAGAGCTATTTTGACAATTAGAAATTAAAAAAAAAAAGCAAGTTTATTGATTTATTAACTTATTTGGATCACATTACCTCCTTATCTTTTTGCATTTTTTTTTTTTAAAAAAAAAAAGTCAAAAAAAGGTCAATAACTTATCTTTTTTTCTTACTTCCCAAAACAAACTAAAGTCAAAAGAAAAAGTTCAAAAGTTAAAAAATAAAAATAAAATATCACATTGTACATATCAATTAATCATTTTTTTTTTCTTACAACTACTTATTCAACGAAGAAAATTATTCTAAACATATTAATTTTTTTCACCTCATCAAAAAGTCATAAAAAATTAAAAGTCAATTTTTTTTTTTTTCCTTATTGGGTTTTTTTTAACATTTTTATCAGTTTGGCAGTAGCAATAAATAACCACATTTTCTTTTGAACCTTTTTCACCTTAGAATAAAAAAAATTTACAGTGTCAAGTTTTTTATTTTTTAGGTTGATCTAGTCTAAAAAAATTTGAAAGTGATTTGTTTTTTTTGGAAAAAATTTGAAAACAAATAACTAAAGACGAAGAAAATTTGAAACTTTACACTAAAAAAAAACAGAAATGTGGTGATCGTGGGCATATTTTATTCAAGAAAAATGGTATACAAATCCGCTTTCTAAACTTAATGATATGTCAACAAGATAATTAATTAATAATTAGAGAATAACTAATTTTTAAGCTGAATAGCAAATGCTCTTTATCCAAACTTTTATTTTATTTTTATTGTTTTTTCTTTTTCTCAAACTTTTCATATTTTATGGTGAATCTTATTTTCTAAATATGATAAATTCTATATATCACACGGAAGACATCATAACCAATATTTTCAAACTTGGACCAGACTGGCCGATCAGACTGGTAATCGGACCTGGTTTTGATCTGAATGACCCTCTAAATCCGAACTATACTCAAAACCAGTTTAGAATTTGAAAATTGGAAGAACCGTCAGTTCAATCGAAATAACCGGCGAACCGGTCACTGATCGACATAAGAACTTGTCGGGTTTGAAGAATTGAAATGTCTTCTAAAAATATGTTGTGGAAATGGTTTGAACGGGTCGACATAAGAACCGGTCAGGTTTGAAATATTGAAATTTCTTCTAAAAATATGTTATGGAGAGGGTTTAAATATGAAATTAAGGCCCCGTTTGGGAACTTACTTTTTTAGCCAATTAGCCAAAAAGTTATTAAATTAGCCAAAAAGTCAACAACTCAATCAAAAAGTCAAAGATTCTCTTTTCTCTCTACTTTTTGCACACCTTTTTGTAATTAGCCAAAAAGTCATCCCAAACATACAAGTGTTTTTTTACCTACCTTTTTAGCCAAATAACCAAAAAATTACTAAATTAGCCTCTTCCAAAACGAGGCCTAAGTGCATAAAAAGTAAGCACTCAAACCACTAAGCCATCAACACAATTGTTAGTAATGTAATAAATATATATACTATATATTCAATATTATCTTAATTATTTTTACTAAAAATTAATGTATAAAAAACATAAAATAAAATTTAAGAAATGTTTTATTTGTAATTGTTTATTAACTAGTGATCCATTCACCCAATTACTTTTTCAATTCATTCACCAGTCCGATTTTCAAAACATTGATCACAACTATCATTTTTCAAAATAAAAAATAAAAAATGATAATAAATTTGCTTGTTTTTTATTTTTCAAAAATACTTTTCAGAAAATTTTACTTTCTTATTTTCCCTTTTTTTTTGTTTTTACTAATTTTTTTTAATATTTTAAGTATTTTTTTTTTATTTTTAGATACACCGAACATAAATACACATAAAAATATAATTTTTGTGAAAAAAATCTTTTAAAAATTCACTAAATATCAAAAATACAAAAAAAAAAGAGAATTCAATATATTTTTAGTATTTTTATGTATTTATTAATTTTTTAAAATATTTTTTACAATTTTTTTACTTTTTAGATACATCCCAGTGATGTGCATCTAAAAAAATAAAAAAATATGTTTAAAATTTTAAAAATATTCCCTAAAAACAAAAAATACAAAAATTAAAAAAAATCAATTTTTAAAAAACTTAATTCAAAAAGTTAAAACCAAACCCCGTTCAATAGTAGTTATTACCAGCAAATGTAGTAACCACCAGCTCATAATAACAGCCAAGCCTGACGTCCACCAAGTCCACAAGCTTATCCTTCGCTACCTCTACTTCTTCATCATCTATCTCCTTCAACATCGTCCCATTCTCTCCCAAAGGTATAAACTCAAAATACCCCATATTAGGCAAGAGTGTGAACGCCACGTCATCAGGGTTACACAAAGGTCTCAAATTCACACCAAGATAACACTCTGAAGAAGCATACATAGTACACACCATAGGTAATTTCCCATCACTAAAATACTCAAGTGATGGCACATATTGTGCCATGGACCCCGTCACCACTGCCTCAATGTACTTAGCCCTGGGCCATATGTGACACACTATCCCCTTCCACGACGGCCGGCCACAAATTTCCTCGATCTCTCGGGCGAGCCCCGGGTCTGGCGATGACAGCAGAACCGACATGGCCGATTGGCAACCGGGGTCGGTTATCATGGGGTCCAGTTGGCCGATACGGATATCATTGCATAAGTGGGTCCACTTGCGTTCGAGGAAGGAGATGGCGCGGAGGAGGGCGGAGGCGAAGACAGCTCCGAGGCGGAGGACGTGGTGGCGGTGGACGAGGCCGGCAAGTAATTGGCAGTACATGCTTTGGTTGCTGTCGTTGCATAAGATGGCTTGATCAGGGCTTGTGAAATCGTTGTATGGGTCGGGGGTTCGGTACTTGAAGTGTTTGCTTTTATAGTAGCTTGTGAGCACGGTTCGAGCTGGCAAGCCACATGGGGTTAGCTTTTCTGCCTTGACAAAGTAAAGAAACATGGCCTTGCCTTCATTGAGACCAGGGACATATCTGGAATAACAATGTGGTGGTTCAATGGCCGAATATTAAGTTAATAAAAAAAAATAATAATAACAACGTGACGGTCATGGCATTAATGGAATTTAAAAAAATCACTTACCACTGTGAAGCACACATACATGTCTTAAAATGGTTCTGAATTACATAATATTTTATTTATGTGAATTTTTTATCTCTATTATCATGATGACAAAAACGACTAAATCTAAAATGCTGTTTCGTATTTTTCAAAAATGGGTGCATATAATGGGCAAGCAAACAAGTGGTGTGTTACACAGCATGAGCACTAGCACCATGACGCAAGATATATATCAGAACATGCACACATGCATCCATTAGAATCACTTCTGTCCGAGTAGTGTACATTTTTATGGTTCATACATAGAAATTTTCTTAAAACGTGAGCAATGCATTCATGCAAGATGAGCACTCAATAAAACAAGATTATGAGTAAATTATACTATTAATCTCTTTCATTTTTCAAATAATTTATTTTAATTCTTATAGTTTCAATTACATTAATTTTTAACCCTATACTTCTATTTGTGATTCAATTACATTAAGAGTTTTAACTTTTAATGATCAAACTTTTTGTTTGTAATTGCAAAAAATTTGTCACGAAAAATATTTGGGAAGTATCATTGCGATGATTGTCGCTAAAAGATTGTCACAAAAAGTTTTTAAAAAAAAATTAACAATAAAATTTTTAAAATTAATTATAAATGAAAGATAAATTTTAAAAATATCAATAATTAAAAACACTCCAATCTTCACTAACCCATGCAACTTTAGGAGTTTTTTTTTTTTATATGTAAATATTCTAAAAAATGAAACTATTTATCAAAATAACTCATTTTTCAAACTATTTATCAAATTAACTTACTTTTTTAAAAACTCAAGTTCAAAATGCAACTTCATCATAAAATCGCATTTTGAACATGTAATATTTCATTGTAAAATCACATCTTGAAAATGCGATTTCATATTAACATGACTTAGTGAAGTATAAATGTGGGTCATGTCAATATGAAATCACATATTTAAAATGCAATTTCACCATAATTGTATTTTAAATCTGTGATTTTAAAAAGTATATTAATTTAATAAATAATTTAAAAAGTTGGTTATTTACATAAATATTTTAATTTTTTGAAACATTCACACCAAAAAAAAAAAACCCACGACTTTAGCACTCTAATTTGAGTCAAGAGCCTCTCCTTGCAGGCTTGTCCTTGCGTCCGTCCTTGCAGGCCTTCGGGTCTACTTTTAGATCCAATTTTGATAATCTGAACCGTTCATATTTTATGATTTATTCAGTATATCATATCTGTAAAAAATCAAGTTGATCAGATATCAGAAAGCATGTGTTCGAAAAATTAAACTAAAAATTATTTTTTAAAGAATTTAATAAACAGTTTTCTGAACACATATTTTCTGATATCCGATCAACTTGATTTTTTACAGGTATGATATACTGAATAAATCATAAAATATGAACGGTTCGGATTATCAAAATTAGGTCTAAAAGTAGACTCGAAAGCCTGCAAGGACGAACGCAAGGATGGGGCTGCAAGGAGAGGATCCTCATTCCTCTAATTTGGTTGGATGATGATGATGAAAGAGCAGTTGGAATTTTGCTACATTGAAGTGGAATGTAGAAAACATGCAGGCACTCCAGACAAATATGTGACATCACTGCTTACCAAAAGTCATCCGTTGTATCACTCAATGGACGACAACATAACATATATTGTAAGTAAAGTTGAAAGCCTAAAAGCAGATTTAGATATATCGACATCTACAATGCTTATCCAGGAAAACTAAAAGGTGAACACATATCTACAGACAATAAAAGTTGAAAATGGGAAGAAGCGTCTAACTGGTTTATAATTGGCGTGATGAGATTATATAGAAAGGTTCGACGGTCAAGATCTTCTGCAATTGATGGCATCATCTTAGGCTCTCCAGCTGAAGTGCCTGAACTGCAAATGCAGAAACACACAAAGTTTAGCAACTAAGGCAGGTTCCTAGTATAGAGTATAAAGATAGCTAGTACCATGTTGAGATTATTACACGTTCATGCACATGTTATAAAAAATATACTCAAATTTACGTGATTCAACACAAACTGAAAGACGTAATGAAGTTGGTGCAACAAATAGAGAAACCTGCATAACATCTCGGTTATTGGGTGACCGGTAATGAGGGAAGAGTCTTCGCCATTAGCGATTCTTTGGATATAGGATTGGATACGATTATAAGTAATAACCGGTACACACCGCTTAAACTCTGACACATCTTTTGATCCTGAAGCAGCCATGTACTTGTTCAAATATTCAGTCTGTCCATTTCTTGCTAAGATCTCTTTTAAAATGCTCTCTTGAACTTCATCAGCCTTCATGGTTAGCTTCTCAACCTCCTTTAATGCCTCCACTCCTTTGTATTCTAATTTTTTCCCATCCATTGTATTTGCAAAATGAGCAAGAAAATAGTAAATTGGTACAAGAAAACTATGGAGATAATAGTTTCAGTACTCAAAATACTTCTTGTTCAATAGTTTCAGAACTCAAAGGGTCCATATATATATGTGTGTAAATAGTATGTCTAGCATTGTGATTTTCATAAAAAAAAATTTATCTCAAAAAAACCAAAAAAAAATTCTTTTTGTGCATGATTGGTAACTAGGCAAGCTGGTTGGTTCCATCCACAATGCGGCCCCGCAATCTTTTGTGGATTTGGGATCATTGGGCTTTGCCGTATTATCCACTAGGGAGTTAATAAATTTTTTATTTTTAAATAATTTGTTCTTATAATATATTTCAAGTATATTTTGTTTTAAGTTTTAAAATTTTTATCTTTTGTGCCACCTTTATTATTAAATTTTTTTATTAATTCATATAATACTCCATTTTGTTGCATTTTAAAATATATGTCTATATACATAAAGACGCACATTTTTTTTATCAGAGAAATATCTTTTGTGGATTTGGGATCATTGGGCTTTGCCGTATTATCCACTAGGGAGTTAATAAATTTTTTATTTTTAAATAATTTGTTCTTATAATATATTTCAAGTATATTTTGTTTTAAGTTTTAAAATTTTTATCTTTTGTGCCACCTTTATTATTAAAATTTTTTATTAATTCATATAATACTCCATTTTGTTGCATTTTAAAATATATGTCTATATACATAAAGACGCACATTTTTTTTTATCAGAGAAATATTATTAATAAGAAGTAACATAAATGCTTTTAACCTATGTTCCAGTCCCCATTGCCTCTCAGTGTGGCGCCCTTGCGTTCCCCTATTTCAGCTCGTTGGTTCTAAAATTGGGGAAGCCTTACCCGGCGCTGTGGTCTGGCTAAGTCTGGCACACCCTTTTTTTAAATACCAAAAAAACCCTTACTGGGCAAAAAAAAAAAAAAAAAAAACATATACAGGAAGAGAGTAATGAACTATTATTGCCTCAAAGTCAAGCATCCCAACTACATAAAGACACATAAAGCATATATTATCGTCATGGACGGAACAATCATCAAATGATTTTTGTTTCCCCACATGGCTTGCACATGTTCAATTATAACGTCATATCTGCAAAGTTCATTGTCAACAAGTATATAATTTAGTAAATTATATTTTAAAATTTAAAAAAATTATAATTTTTTTAAAAAACAATTTTTTATTGGACAATATCACATATTCACATTTAAAATTTTAAACAAACGCATTAAGAAAATTTAAGGTAACTAATGTTTTGATTGATTGGGTGAATAACAATTTTTGAAAAATATTTTCTACTTTTTTTGGCGTTTGATACCAAAAAAACAAAAAAATAATCAAAGTAAAAAAAGAAAAAGAAAAATCATAGTCAACTAAGAATTATTGGACCAAAAAATATTTTTCCCTTATAAAAAATTTCTAAACCAAAACTTTATCAATGCCATCACCACTTGTACAATTACTGGCAATTAATTTTAAAGTCATAACAAAATATAAGAACAAAAAATTAAAAAAAGTTTTTCATGGAAATTATTTTGGGTGAAACATCAATAAATCTCAAATTTTGATATGATAAACCATTTAGTCCTTCCTTTTTTTTATAGCTTGAAAAATCCTACGTGAATGTCAATTACGTTAAACCCCTTTAAGTTAGCACTAGTTTTGTATTTGGAAATGGGTAGTTGTGGGTTTTTACTGATGTTGTAGTTACTAAAATGCCCAAAAGTATACTATACCATTTTTTTGGTTTTCCTTCCATCCCGAAATTTCTGGTTTCCATCAAAATGTTGTTGATTGGATTCTCATTATGTGTGATTGAGACGTAGGGATTATCAATGTTGATCGGCGAATATTCATCCCCAAAATAACATTTCATCCCCGAAAACACGTTGCATAGAACCCATCAAAATCCTAGAAAAAAAAAAGAAAAAAAAACCCTTTAAGCACATTCGTGAAGGTGATTCGGCGTGGTTTTTGAGGGTCCTTGAACTGTCACCATCCGTCGGCCGTAACATTGGCGAGTTAACATCATCAGTTCATAACGGTATTGTGGGTGTCTATCACGACCCAAACTCCCTCCCTCTAGATTTAGCGTCGTAACCGGCCAATAATTAAGGGATTACCGAAGGCCTCTGACTTAAAAATCATAATAATAGAGGGGATGCGGAAGAAAATATACAAAATACAACGTCCAATGAGCTGTGCAGGCATAGATGGGACAGAAAATTTTAAAACTTTATATACGTACACATAACGTCATAATTACAGTAGTCTCACGTCATATTCATTATAGATAATCAAAAGGGAACTTAGCCCAATATACAGATAAATAGAAAATTTTCTTATAATCCAAAAGAAAATACGTCTTATACGTTCACAAAACATGACCACTCGACTCTTTCCAGAACCTCCTCGGGAGGCACAAAGGGTGGCCGACAAAACAGAAGTCCAGGCGATCAACTCCGAGCTTGGTCACGTGCCTGGTCACCTACATACTTAAATAATAGAGTGAGCGGGAACCCAGTGAATAATAATAGAGTAAAGGGTTTTAATTGAATAATGTCCCACATCTGATTCAGAAAACAAATTTCATATCAGAAACAGATTCATATTTTTCTACAGAAAACAGAGTTCATGCTTAATCATACATGGCACATCCATTAGTATTAACAGAACAGATACAGACATATACAGAACATATGATGGTTATGTATAACCAGTTCCTGAAAGGAACCTCCGTATCCGGTTAACAGATAACAAATATGTTAAGCTCCATGTTAGAGGCTCCGGTACAGGTAACAGATAACAGATATAATAAGTTCCATGATGGAACCTCCGATACCGGGTAATAGCTCACAGATATCATATGATGCTAAGGATGCCACAAATCCATGTCAAAAATTAGACAATCATCATTGTGCAAAACATAACATTTCAAAAAACAGATCTTATTTCATCATATAGAAAATAAATAAAGTTGAACATAACTTTATTAAGTTATTATTCACAAATGGCTCTACAAGAAGATAAACAAAGCAGACAAATCAGATAGCTCACGACGCGTGACCTATACAACCATAACAGATACACATTTTGAACCACACACTTGGATAATACTTAGCTTGTTTCATTACATTCTTAGTGTGCTTCTAGGTTTTTATCCTCAATATTATGTCTTAAATATGGCTTAGGAATGTCTAGGATGCAAAGAAGATGCCAAACCATGTTGTTCAACAGCTAGGTAAATTTGCTAAAAACAGGCTCCTCGCTCGAGTGCAACTTTCTTCGCTCGAGCAGGTGTTCAAAAATATGAGTAGTCATTCGAGCGCAAATTCTTTCACTCGAGCAGTCTGCAAACTTAGCAAAAGTACTGGTTGCTTGATTTTTCCACTCGACGCGCGCTCGACGGTTGCTGGAGCGTGAGACTGATGTCTTCGCTCGAGCGCAACTCTAGTCGCTCGAGCGGTCTGCAAAAATGGGTAAACTTTTGGAAGCATGTATTTTACGCTCGAGCCAACTTTTGGTCGCTCGAGCAGAGGTGTAAAACACAGAGGTGGTGTTTGGGAAGTTTGGGACTTAGGTTTTTTTTGATTTTTTTTCACAATAAAACAAATTTTTTTCAAAACCAAAAAAAACACATCCAAACAAAATATCACATCCAACCCCATAATCATTTCACTTTTTCTCTCACAAACATCACATCCAACCACAAAAAAACCCAACTATCTTCCCAAACACAAAAAAAAAAAATTCTCCAATAATATCCTACAACTAAAAAAAACCTACATAAAAACTCACTTCCCAAACACCCACAGAGTGGTCGCTCTAGCGCAAGATCTGTCGCTCGAGTAGAGAGGCAGAATCTAGAATTTCCAGATTGCTGTGCAAGATGCAAACCATGAGTTTTAAGCTTCAACATTGCTCTTTTGGGCCAAAAACTCAAGAAAACATTTAGAAACTTGTAGGATATCATGAATTAAAGATCATGTCGCAAAATCAAGGCCCAAAAGCATGCCAATTATGTAAAATCAACATTGGTATGTCATGAACACAACATGCATAAAGTGTCTTGGCTTCAAAGCTTCCAAACTTGTTCCAATGAGGTATTAAAGTGCAAAATCACAATGAGCTCCCAAAATAGATCAAAAATTAGTTCTTGCATGTAAGAATTTGTTGAAATCAAACCTCAAAACTCATGAATTATGCATACAATGCATGACTTGATCTCAATTCTAGCTCTCAAGCTTAATTCTCATGTTAGACACTAAAACCTCTTGAATCTATGGTTTAATTACCTCAATTACATAGCTAAGGGTTAAATTCTTACCTTAGATGCCTTAATTCCCTTTAATTCTAGCAAGCCTTGCTCAATGCTACCAAATTCTTTTTATTTCCCTAGCAATTCCTAGCTTGATCTCCCTTCACCTCTTCTGTCTCTGTCTCTCTGTCTCTCTGTCTCTCTCTCTTTTTTGTCTTTTAAAAGATGAGGAATGGAAATGTAAAGTGTATGCAATCTCTCTCTCTCTCTCTCTCTCTCTCTCTCATTTTTGTCTTTTAAAAGATGAGGAATGGAAATGTAAGGTGTATGCAAGGTGTTGGGGTGTCCTTATATAGGCTTGGTTAGGGATTTAATTAAACTCAAGTTAATCAATTGACATTAATTATTCTAATTTAATTTGTTCCAAATCGAATTTCAATGAAACCTATCATAAATTCCTAAAAATTACAAGTAACACATAAATCAAGTTAATTCCACATTCTGTGGCCGATAAGCCCTTCAATTCACAGAACTAAGTAGAAACACAAACAGATGTTCTACGATAAACAGGCAGGAACACAAATAATGAAACACACATGCAATTAATTTAGAATTTCATCTTAATTACTCATTAAGCATTCTTAATCATGGTTTAACAGCTAATCATAGGTCGGGGTTATTACAGTATTCTCTCCTTAAAAAAGTTTGGTCCTCCAAATTCGAATTACCTTCGTTTTAGAATAATGCCGGGTCTAGACGGAACAAATCTGGGTATCTCTTCATTATATCTTCTTCGGTCTCCCAAGTCACA